CCTTTATAGGTAAATGGAGGCAACTTGAGACTATCCTTATAAATGAAATAAACAAACTTCATGTTTTTAAATATCACAGTCTATCTAGTGTAAAAAATAATAAAAACTAAAAGAATAATTAGATCCAAAATACATAATAGGTATTATAAAAATGAAAGGGATGGCAAGTGCTCTAAAGTATATAACAATATGGATGTTCAAGTGTGTAAGATAGATGACCGTATTACTAAATTTCCATTAGATCACTGAACAGACTGGTTTGCTCTGTCAATGTTTGTGTGTCCACTTTTTATGCTTTGATTTTGTAACTTGAATAACTATTTATAAGAGAACAGTATGTAACTTATCAACTAGTAAAATCTTAGTGTTAATATTTTTCTTTGAAATTCTGTATTCTACCATTTTTCTGTTTTGTTTTGTTTTTCTTTCTTTTTTCTCTAAATAAAAAATTGATTTTAGTACGTGTGATGGTCTGAACACCTATATTGAAGAAAGCAAGACATCATGGTAGCCATTGCTGATTTCCTATAATTTTGTTTGGAAGTCTAATAATGCTTTTCTTCTTGGTTTTGATTGGTTTTAGCTTGCTTTCAATTATTTGATTTCAATATATGTGAAGGTATGGAGAGCTATTTTGAAGTAAACAAAAGACAATACGGTAGGGAGTACTGATTTTCTATTGTCTGGTTTTGAAGACATTCTCATTCTTTTGTTTTGATTGCTTTTATACTATTTTGTTTTGTACTAACTTGTGTGTGAAGGTATGGACAACTATTTTGAAGACAACAAGAGACATTATGCTAGCCACTGTTAACTTCTTGTTTTGTCTTGAAGTTCTCTGTTATTTTTATTGTTTTACTCTGATCTATTTTGCTCTGTTTTGATTTGTTTTATTTTATTTTTTAAATAAAAAAAGAAATATAAACACCTAGACTGATGAGTATGTGTGAGCAGCATGGGGCTGCTTTGGCTGCTTTGTTACAATAAGCAACACACTACTGGCTCACAAAGTGGATGGCTGAACATTTGTAGTAGAGCAATCTGTACCATTAATCTTTTCTAGGATACAATATTTTAAAATTTAGGCATAGATTATAGGTATTTGAATAAGATAAATGAGAAGCTGTCATTTGGCCCTTGGATTTAGCTCAATTGCTCAAGAACTTGCCTCTGAGGCACGAGGTCATGATAAATTTGAGGTGCTGAGTTTGATCCCTGGTACAAAACAAAACAAAAAATACAAGCAAACTAACCCTCCCAAACTCCAACATATTGATAAAATTATGCCCGACAGTTTCACAGAATCTAAGACAGCATGCTAACACTAAAATAACTCTAGTCTTTATCTTCCTTGCTCTACAGATTGAGAGGCTGAGGCTTCAAAATGAGAAGGGACCTACATCAATTTACCTGCTGATTAGTGACAAATGCTGGAAGCCTTTTCCCCGTCCAATGCTTTGTTCTTGCCTGTTTTCATAGATAAATGAAATTATAGATTCTTTGGATACTGAGTCACTTGCTGCACCACAGGTACCTCTAACTAGAAAGGAAGGAGGATCAAGAGTATCAGAAAAAAAGAATCCCTAAAACAAAATCAAACAAACAAACAAAAAACCCCAAACCTTGGAAGACAGTAGGACTTAAAAAAAAAACATTTTTTCCTAGCAAGAGTCATTTGAAGTTTAGAGAAGAGGCTGTGAGAAAATTATGAGCTCTTATTTGATAGATAAAAATATCACTTAAAAAAAAAACTATCAAGGACTAGGGTTCTAGCTCAGCAGCAAAAGGGCTTGCCTGGCAAGAGCGAGGTTGTGAGTTCGATCCTCCATACAAAGAAAAACAAAAACAAAACACAAAAAACCTATTGCTCTTCAAGTGGGTTACTTGTAAAAACAATTCCATTGTCTATAGCCCCTTTTTTGTTCTTGTTTATAACACTATCTGCTTTTGATTTCATTGGGACTATTTGGAAGAACTTTGAGAAAATCAGCCTTTCAAGAAAGATTTAGTGATTAAGATCATATGCATTGTAAATAAATGTAATTGATATTGAGTTCAGATTTTATTACTTGGATGTAATCTTGGGTCTGGGCCAAAAAAATGTTGAGCCATAGCTTCAGTTTCCTTATTTGTATAAATAGAGCAACTGTGCTCAATTTGATCTGAAGCATACATGACATAAAAGGTGTAAAAACTTTAGGATTAGCATTTACTGATATGTAAAGCTATCGATACATTTTTGTTGTCATAATTGTTGATTCTGATCTTGAATAAGTCTCTGTTGTATCTTCTATTACATTCTTACACAATACATTTTGGCATAGCTTCCATCTCTTTCCATGTCCCCAAACTAATTATGCTACAAGTTCATTAAAAAATATTTAGTCATCTTAACTGGTTACTTGTAACCAACTGTGACAGGTGACAAATAATTTTCATAGTATTTTAAATTCTACTATTCATTTATGAGTGTCTTTATAATATGCAAGAGGCTTAAATACATGATAGGAATTCTTTTCATACTGTCAGTCTCATTTGCACTCATTTGTTTTTTGAAGTGGGAAAGAAAGGAGCTGAGTGATAGTTATATATCAGGAATTGTACTTGTTCCTGTGGCTCCCTTGAGAATGTGTCACAAGTATGTGCATTATCTTTCACATGCGGAAGTGAGGATGACTGGCATACAAAAGAATTGTACTTCTTAGCAATACATATGAGCTGTGGATCAGTCTCACTTCCAATTCTTACTACCAGTTTCCATTTGCTTTCATTGTCCCAAAACAGAAGCTATATTCTTTCCTGACTGTCATGCTATTCTCTCTGCTTTGGTTGCCTGCACAACTATGTTCTTGTGTAAAATTTCATCTCACTAAATCAGATCTAGAAAGCTAGCATGCTGTCTTCTCTGACATTTTTCTGATTTTCTGTTTGTTTGGCTAAATGATTGACATCCTTCAACACAACGAATGTTAATTTAACTGGCTTCCCATAGTCTCTTCTATTCCATAAAATGATGTTATTGTTCCTCCCTGAGGTTTTCTTCATGCTGTTTGGGAGTTTCATGCCAATATGTGTCACTCAAGGAAGGATACGGTAGGTGAAAGTAGGGTAGTGGGCACTGTATGTTGTCATCACTGAGACATTTGTATATGCATTCTGAAAACCGCACTTACAGGTCCTGAGGTCTTTTATAGGTTGGTGTACTGTGAGGAGACTGAGGCTAAAAATCAGGAGCCATAGCCCATGAATTGCTCATGAGCAGCCATTGGACAAATCATTCCTTCAGCTAGTTGAACCTCAGTTTCTGTTTCTGCAAAACCACTGATACCCATTTTACATGCTTCCTTGTGGCACTATGAGGTTTAGATGAGACCATGTGTCTGATAGCGTCCTGGAAACTGAAATTCTGGCAAGCATTTGTATGTCTTCCCGGTACCATGTGGAAAAAAGTTGGCTTGTTTGTGCTTCCCTTTTTGCCCTCACCCCTCAATCATATCTCCCTTCAAACTCTTCTCTCACTCTAAACTATTTATGTTTCTCTCACAAAGCTGCTGTCTTTCATCTGAGAAAGAATGTCATTTTCTCCACCTCAAGTCTCACCTTCATTTAACTTGGTTCACAACCTAGTTTTCTGTAAGAAGCTTATCCTTGACTTTCCAAAGAGGGTGAGTAGGCATCATTCTTCTGTTGGACTCAAGTAATCCCGAGTATCTCTTGCTGTAGCACCCATTATACAATATTATAATTTTCTTTAACTTTGTCTACCCCAGTAGACAAAGGAGATCCTAGGAGATCCATCAGGGTAAATAGCATGTCTGTCTTGTTCTTGTACAGGGCATGGAGTTGTTGCATGAAGATATTGTTGAACAAGCAAATGAACAAACGAATGAGGAGAGTACTAGATACTGTTTCCCTGTGAAGTGAGAGGTCTCTACAGTTTGTTGAGACAATAGAATTCTTTTATAGTGATAGTTCAGCACTGACATTAATAAACCTTACCACTTTGTGCATACAGCAAAGACTTGCTTCCTTTGAGGATAAATGTCATTGTCCATGTGGTGGGTGATATGCTTCTCATAGCATCTGCCTGCTCTGTTGTCCTGTTTTCTAGTCTGAGACTCCAGTGGGGGTGTGGGAAGGGCAGCTTGCATAGTCTGACTTAAAGCAACTTGTTCCATATACAGCTTTGCATGCTGGAATCTGCACTAAGCCTCCTAAAAGAAGCTAATGGAAAAGAGAATGTTGTGAGTCAATGTGGGATGTTTCTCAGGGGTTCTGGCATTTTAACAAGGAATGAAGACAAAGCAAATAGCCCACCAGCTGCATTACATATGTTCTCATTGAATTACCAGCTCAGCCCAGGAGGGAAACATTGTAGTAACCCCTTTCAGGTGAGGACACTGAGAATCAGAAAACATTATTTTTTATTCATCATGACACCTCTAACATCTCATTGATGGCCAGTACCTTAGGTCCAGAAATCCAATTTGGGATCTCATAAACATTCACATCAAGAGGCCACAGGAAAGGACATTGTTTGAACTTAAGAACCCAAAAGAAGGCTGGCTTAGATTTTGTCTACATAGTTGAGGATGATATGGCACCTAAAAAACTGAAGATTTGAGTGTGCCCATTTTTTCCCTGGTTCAAACAGGGCAGTGATGCTAACGTATTTTATGATTCTGCAAGTATGATGATATGAGGGTGAGGAGATAAGTTTATGTGGTTTTCCTTGGCTTGATAAGCTTGGAGTTTCTTATGAAAGATTTTGACAAGCTGCTACTATCTATCTGTGTGTTCTAACCTAGGTCCTCGGTTATTTTGGTGTTCCCAAGTTAACCTAATGACAACAAAAGGTAAATGCATTACCTCTGTACCATGATTTTTAAAAATATGTGAGAATAAATGTAACATAGAAGGCCACTGGGCACTGTATTAATAGTTAATTTCAATAAAGACAGAAAATAAAATGGATTAATTAAAAGTACTGATGACATTGATCTGAAATTGCAGATGTTTTATGTGTTAACAAATTAACAATGATAAGAGGACATTAGCAGCTTTTCTTAGGTCTCTGTTAACAATAACTTGAGCCCGCAGCCACAACAGGGGCTGTGGCCAAGTTTTAGTTGGCATATCAGCAAGCCAGTATTTCACACAAAGGATATTTCTGAAAGCAGAGGCAGAGACAAACCCAAATTCACACATGTATTCCAACAAACAAGTTTCTGCCATTTTAATTATATTCAGAGCAACAAAATATTTCAAGATTACAAAAAGAGCACAGAATACTAGTGTTGGGGCTAATCCTGCTGCCCAGTGGAGGCCAAAAGCCACTGTGAGAACTGAAGCCCCATCGAAAGAAGTTTCAAGCAAAATTGTTTCAAAAAGTTTTTGAATAATGGTTTTTCTTTCAACATCAAAATATTTATTCTTATCTCTTTTTACATAATCTTCTCCTGCCCACTGCTAAATTAATCTCAAGGACAGCACAAGAATGTTATATCCAAGGCACTCCCAAATCAATGTCCAGTATAAGGGAAAGCAGAAAGGTGTTATTAAGTGGTGAAGGGACTTTTCGGTACTTATTTTTGGCTGGAATCATCCTAATTGCGACTGCTCTCAGAACCCACCTAAGCACTTCACTGTAGGATAGTTATACTGAGGACTGAGGTTGAGACTGCAAGCCAGTCTTGTTCATTAAGAAGGGTACAGAAACTCAAATTTGTGCGTAAGCAGTCAGACAAGGAGGGTGCCACTGGAGAAGTAGCAATTTCTATCCTTTCGAGTACCCATGTGTGTTCCAGTCTTTGGTAGCCAATGGAAACTGCAGCTACATGATAGTTTTGTTGAATAGCTTATGTGGGAACTTTTGCAGGCCACATGGTTGCCCATTCCACAGATTTTTATTTGATTCCACAAAAGATTAGGAGATAAATGGGGAGAGGGAAGAAAACTGGATCCTTGCTATAATAAATTAGGCCTGGAAAACAAACACATTAGCTACTTTCAGGCCAAATTGAGTGGAATAAAACTAAAGCTGGATCAAAACTTGTTTTATACTGTAAAATTTTACCTGCTAGATTCAAATATTTATCCCTCACTTGAGTGACAGGGGAATTAAGTGATTTGTTATCTTACCATAAGTGTTTGAGGAAAAGTGAGTAGTAATGTGGATTTTTCTGCCTTCACCTAGAAATGGTTGAGATTTGGGAGGCCCTGGGCAATAGACCCCAGTGTCAAACTCTTTACTGAAGAGAAATAATCTCTACCCTTGGGCAGAGGTGGACCTGTACCTACCAAGATACAACTTCTAGTACACTGATAAGTTTTAACAGAGAAAAATACATTTTCAATGTTCAAATCTTTACAAAACATATCCAAAACCAGAAGTAAAGCATATAGACACCCAGTAGCAAGAGCACCTCAATCACAGGGGAAAGAACTGGTGTGAAAGATGGAGCACTTGCTCCAGGTTCCCAAGTGCAGGCAACTACCCTTCTCTCACAAGAATGGTGAAGACCAAAAAATATGCTTTCTTCTCCTAATAGCTCAGGTCCCACTAAAAGGACATTGGCCAATGAGTTGGGTGGGCTTTTGTCCCCAAGTCTGGCTTTTCCTTGTGGTGAATTCCAGCCAGTTAAAGAGTCATCACCCTTTCCACATTCATGTGTCTTAGACTAGTAAAGTGCAATACATCATGTACCCTACCATTTCCCCCCTCCTACCCCTTTGTAAGGCCTTGCATTAGGCCAAAGAGGGTTAGAAATATCTGTTATCTGATCAATCCAGGTGTCTTGTCCATTCTGAGAGAGTTTCCAAAATGTAACTGCAGCCTCTCTTATAAGTACAAGGCATCAGATATGACCTGGAACCAAATATAAAGGTGCAGAGAAAGATAAAGCTTTAGAACACATTATATCTATCTATCTATCATCTATAATTCTGTTTTTAAAACATGGATACAGGTACTCATTTACAATATATTTCAACCTTCTGCCTCAAACTGCAGAGAACTTTCTGTGCTGTCCAAACTGGGCAGAAATAAGAGTTTCTGTCTGTTGTCCTTCTAGTGAAAAATCTAATCCTTTAAATGCCCCTCTTGTCAGCAAAAGTTTCACATCTTTAGATGAGCACTAGGAAACACAGTGGCCAAGACCAGCTCCATTTCCAACCACACAGTGATGGAGCTTCAAAAATTTGTTCAGCAACTACCTAGAGTAAAGAAAATCTAGATCTACTTATAAAATCACTTAGTGAAGGACACATAATCCCATTTTCCAAATTATCTTCAATTCTTTCAAATCTGAATATTGTGAAGTTGGAAAATCCCATAAAACTCTTAAAATTCAGTCACCAGCAAAGTTCTTTAGTCTGCCTTTGGAAAGCTTACCAAACAGGCACTAATGTTTACTCCCTCCCTGCCCTGAAAAATTTTGGTATCTTAGATACAATTTAATCTTTGGTTACATACTGTGATACTTTCATCTCTCTGTCTGTCCTTAAAAAATATTTTCAAAGATTTTCAGAGATCAGTGGTGAGAACAGATCTGCCTACAAAGGCAGTAGCACTAGAAACTTCCTTTTCCAAGAAATTTCACATTGCTAAATGGCTTCTTTTGACTTTAAATCTGGATTTGATCTCCTGCTTTAGCATTCCTGTTTCCTATGACCTCCCACCAAGGGTCAAGCATAAAAATCATGTCCTTGGCCAGCTGCCCTCTCACCTGGGCAGCTAGCATAGGGTAATCAGTAGGCAGCCCCTTGTTTTTCAAGAACTTTGTAGGGGTCATGCAGGGAAGCTATCGAGCTATCTGGAGAGTCTCCTGAATTGCAGTGCTGGTATAGAGCTGGGAAGGGGTAGGGCAGGGTTGCTTGGGCCTTCGTGCCCTCCTTCATATAAAGGCAGAGAAAGGGAAAAGGCCACATATGTGTTTGCCTAATGTAACAAATATTTGGAAGCTATTTGAATCTCAAATGGTGGACAAATTTTAAAATACAAGTCCAATACATTTTCATATATATACCTACATATATTTAGAAATGGAATATGAACAGAGAGGGACTCAGGTATCAGAACATTAATTGTCAACCTGGAAAACTGACCTCTGCAACTACCCAAAGGACAGAGGACGGAGCAAAGCTCTTTTTTTTAATTGCCAGTGAACATACATAAAAATATACATATTATTGATTTTTTCAAAGATATGATAGATTCAAACAATTCCTTTCGCATTTTAAGGTTATTCAAGAAAATGAATTTCCAATAAAAGCAATATTGCCTGTAGCATAGAAAATCTGTAAAACAAAGAATGTAACCCCACCCTAGTTCAGAAGTGAAATGCAGTGAGCTGATCAAGGAATAGAGCTGAAACATATGACTCAACTCTTTGCTTTGACCAGAGTCCATGACTTTTGCAGCTGTCTGCTGCCCAGATAGGATCTTCTTCATGTTGCTCCTTTTTTTCTCTTTCTTACTCTCCATTCCCACTCAGCACTGCAGATCTCTTTGGAGACGGTCCTCTTGACTTGTCCAGTGAGTGATCTTCATCATCCACCTCACCAGGTGAGTCAGTCTGGGTTGTCAGTCTTTCACATCTAAGTATAGTATATTACAAATCAACTCTGTTTGTACAGCAGAGTACAAGCCAAAATGAGACTTCTGTCAAGTGTACTGGCTGAAACATCAATGGCCAAAAGAAAAAAAAAATCACCGTCCTTTCACCTGTGGAAAAAAATCCTTCTTTGCTCAATCAAAATCCTAGGGCAAAAGCAGTAGATCTACAGCCCTATTTAGACTGTTTTTCTCTAGTTCTGCAACTTAGAAATTTGGAGTGATCCAGTTGTTGCTGCTTTTAATTACACTGTTGTTTCACCAATTTTTGGCTTTTGCAAATGAAAAACACACACACACACACACACACACACACACACACATATATATATGTATATATATATATATATATATATATATATATATATATATATAAGGCAAGAATTGCAATTCAGAAATCAATAAAGATAAAAAAAGTTTGATAGCAAAATGAAGAGCCCCTAGTATTTACAAGGAAAGCTATTAGAATGATAATCGAACCCATGTGCCACAAGACGAAAATTGTTTCAAAACAGATATAAACTATTAAAATGCAATTTGTTTAATTGAAATGTGGTGATTTTTTTTCAGTTTAAGGCAGCTAAAGTAATTCTGTAATAAAGCAAGATGATTCCATCACAAAGAAAATCAAACTCTGTCCTGTCCCAGAAAGGAAATAAGAGTTTCCATGAACTTCAGTTTTGTTCAGGAGTCTTGGATTGGCATATCACCCATTTTAGTTTCCCGTCTCCCTTGTTATTTAAAGAAGCTGTTTTGCAAGTTCATTTGGCTATTAATATCAACACAGAAACCAGGGAAGGAAACCCATGTTGATCATATCATGTCACTCAGAAACTATCTTCTCAACAAGCAGAGCAAACCAGCTGAAATGAGCAAGTTGGTGACTGGCTCATGATTTATTGAGTTTAACAAATGGAGTTAAGGACTAAAGGAAGAGGCAGTGCCCAAGATAAGGAAATGCATGAACAGTCTACCTTGCGCCTGGGACTGGGAAACAAAATCCATAGAACATTTGTGTGCGAAAGGATTATATCAAATCAATGACCCAGGGGCATACCCTGAGTTTATGGGTGGTAGCAAATCAGTCACACCAGCCAGTCAGTTCCAAAGGAAGCCATGGTTCTATGGAAAATCCATCACTCCTCTGAGTGACAGGCAGCAACAAGCATGGGAAAGCTATGTGAGAATGGCCAGTGTCAGAGCCCAGAATCAGCAGAAGAGGAGGATGAGTAAATTGGTAACCATCTAGCCAGCTGATGTCCACCTGGCTTTAGGTTTTGCCTCTGATGACTAACAGTTAAACGAGTCTCCTCTTGGTTCTTTCTCTCTTCTCATGACTTCTGCAAGTGGACATGCTGGATGGTAAGGAGAGCATTTCAGGGTTTCTGTTTGTAGGGTCATCATTCTTCCAATCCTGATTACTGAGTTTTCTTTTCCACCCTAATCTGGGTAGCTGCTTTAGCTGCTTTGGAGAAGGGAGTGAGCATTTATCCACTTGATGAGAGGGTTTCATCTTTGAGGGTTAAGGGCCAGATGCCCAGTTTGTCTGATTCCTTTGATGCCCTCTTTCCAGTTTGCCTAAGGGCTCCAGAGATCTGACTATTGAGGAGATACATTTGGAAAGAAAGTTTTGAGACTACTGGAATCTAGAGATAGACGTCAGGACTCCTGGCCTGCTAACCTGCATAGTAGGGGGAATTTTAGCAGAGAGTTTGTGAACATGCCTAAAGAAGTGAACAAGCTTTATCATCATGTCTGAAATGTAGTGTGACCCACAAAACAATGAAGGGAGGGTGGAAGAAGCTGATGGCCAGAGGGAATATATAATTTTTTTAAAAAGATTATAAGAAGGTGGTGGTATTAAGAAATCAATTGTTCATTGTCCTAAGTATGAGAACATCCAAGCCATCATCTCTATCTGTTGAGTATATCTCCAGATCCTCCTGGATTGCATGTGAGAAACTAGACTAGATCTTAATGGAGCCTTCCAAAGTGTCAGATCTCTCTTCTCCTTTGTCTCCCTGATCTGTACCTTCAGTGCAAGTGGCCAAGTTTTGGCTAAAGAGAATATTCAGCTCAGAGGTCTCAGAAAGCTACTGAAAGTAAATTTGAGGATGTAGGCAGAGATTGAGAAAGAACAGGTCTTGAGAGGGGAGGCACTTACATGCAGACAAATTTTCAAACAAGAAACACATTTTCAGCTCAATGAATTGTACTATAGTTGAGCAGTGTAGCTCTCAGGAGCCAAGCCTGTGGGCAAGAACTGGTGATTCATCTGCCATCCTTATCATCTCCTCTTTCAGTCTTCCCATCTCAGCTCTGGGGTTGCCCTGTTATCCAATGGCTATAGTCTTTGCAAAAATAAAGATTCCTAGAAAGTGAGGGGATGAAAAAAAACAGTGACTCCTCATGGGCCTGAAATTTTCATTTTCTTCTAGTCACTGCTGGCTTCTTTGGGGATTTCTATCAGTTATTTGTTTATTTATAAAAAGCCTTAGCAAGCTTTTTACTTTTTTGGTTTTTGTGCCTTTTGTTTGTTTTTGCTTTCCCCAGATACTTTTAGCTCTTTAAACTTCCCATGGCATAAGGTAAGTAAGTAAATGTTAGTGTGGCTGGCACACAGTGGAGTGCTGTAAACAAGCACAACTTGACACTGGGCCACAAGAAGATTATCACAGATTTAAAGAAGTACACCACCGCTCAAAACAGATAGGAGCCACAGCAGAGAGCAGAGTCTGAAGCTGAGTTATGGAGAGAAGTTAGGAAGAGAAGAAGAAAAAGAAAAAAGGAAAAGAGAAAAAAAGTCCAACAAATAGAATTCAGGAACATGTTCATGACAGACTGTACATCAATAGAGGAAATTCCTCAAGGCACTGCAGAGAAGTAGTGCAGAGTTATAATAGGCAGAAGACATCTGAAAAGCAGGAAGGATGGCCTAGGGAAATGAAGACTTCCAAAGCGTTACTGTGTATGGAAATAGATGGGCTTGACTTTCCCAGAAAGGATCTTGGGCACTTGCACAGAGATGATTTCTGCCATCATTTCCGGGAAGTCCACGCTCACCATGTGGGACTTGATTAGCAGGTCAAAAGTGAACTGATGCAGCTCTCTTGCAATCTGTAGGGGACAGTAAAAAAAGAAAGAAAACATAGTTCACAAAGAGATGAATTCTGATAGACTCCTCCCCAGCTCTGATTTCCAGTCCTTTTAGCATTTTGTGCCCATACTTATTCTTAGTTCTGCCTTCTGAGATAAGCACACATGTGTGTGCATGCATATGTGTGTGTACACATATGTGCAGTGGTCTCTAGGAAATCACTGATGTTTCCTAATAGATGTGTTACACCACTGCAAGCTTTCTGACTCCGGACTGGGCGTTTATCTCCACCACTGATGTTCTCTCTCTCTCTCTCTCTCTCTCTCTCTGTCTCTCTCTGTCTCTCTGTCTCTCTCTCTCTGTCTCTTCCCTCTCCTTCCCCCACCACGCAGGCATATACACGCACACACACACAGAGGCAAACTCACACAGGACTCAGAAAATGGAAAACAAAAACACTCAGGTCTGTTTTGTCTGCCTAGAGGACTCATCAGCTTTAAGATTTTCCTGGAGTTCCAATTGCTCTGTTCTCAACTTCTCCACTCCTTTTCACAACAGCCAGCTGGGACACTGTGACCCGTGTTCCTTTCTTTTCCATTGCATTTTCTTTCTGGACTACAGTCAAAGCCAGAAGAGATGGAAACACCTCCCAAAAGGTGGTGTCAGACCATAGAGAATCATTATCATCATTTGGCTCTATCAAGTTGCTCTCCCTGATACAGACAAAGTGAGTGTTTGGTCCTTGTCCCCTAGAGATGAGACTCTCCATCATTTGCTTACAGGTTGCACGGAGTCCAGGAGCTTTGTGAGCTGGTAGAAGCGCCTTGAGCAGGATGTGGGATTTTTTCTTTTGCATGCAATGATACGATCAAGTTCCTTGATGTAGTTCATTCGAAGTTCATCAAAGAATTTTTGATTTTTCAGCCCATCCACTGGAACTGATGTGGGATGAAGACAGAGTGCATAGGGGAAGCATGCCCACAAAGGAGCGTTAGACAAAGCACTACATTTTCTGGCCACAAATTTGATCCCCCACCCCCATAGGGAGGGAAAAATCTACTTGGCTTCCTGACAATTGAAGTCTGTGGACTTGGGCCCTTCAGTTTGCCAGGGAGCTCTCAGGATAAAGCATAGCTGGACCCAGTCTGAAGGACGTGAAATAAAATTTACTGAACCTTTGCTTTATCATGTACTCTTTATCTTAGGAACTAAAGTTTTATGTTATTTGCCATCTAGCTCTGATTTGGACAATTAAAACACACAGATTACAGTATTAAACTCTGCTTTCTTTCTTCCTCACAGAGACTAGGCATTTTGGCTTAGAAGAACATTAAAGAAAGTTAGCTTGGATGCCAAAACAGCTCTAAGAGTTGCTTACATAGAATTCCTCCTCTTGATACAAGAGGAAATGCCTTATACGAGGCAACTCCTCCTGTCTACTACTCTGCATGAAACACAAGTGGTTCATGCCTGTTTCTGGAACAGAGGCTGTGGAAAAATTCAGAGGCTGCCGACAACCAGTCAAAAGGCCTAGTCCCAAAAGAGAGACTTAGAGTTGATGAGAATTTGTTGGAGGCTGAATTCTAGCAATAAGTTGATCTTGGCATGAAATTGGTCTTTGTTAAGAAAAAGCATACAGAGAAAGAGTGGAGGGAGGAAAAAAGAAGGGAAATGTTCAGAGGCTGGCTTCTCTTTGGTAATATTAATAGAAAAAGTATACTCCTCTGAGCCTCTGTGCCCCCGGGGCATTCTCTGTGCCTCTAGGCACTTACTAATGCTGAAGAGTAGCAATGCTTTCATGCACAGGAATTCCTGGGGTGTGATTTGGAGCCATCCAAACTCTTGAGAGAGATGCCTCATTCGGACACACTGGCTGTACATCCGGGACTTGTGCATCCGGTACCTGGGAAAAAGACATGGATGAACAGGAGGAATGAGGGGAAGCTTCTAATAGGCACAGAGGAAATATGTCTTTTTTTCCCTCTTTAAGTTCTTCAAGAAAAGCTCGCTATTTCTCTTGCTGGTGCTTCAGTGGCAAGGAACAAGTTGCTTTTCTCACTCCTATCTCCACTCCAAATTACTGACATCCTGATAACCACTCATCTTCCTTGGTCAGGATATGAGTTAATACACAGATTTTGCAGCTCTCTATGTTCTCTATGTTTCCTAAGACGCAGACAGAAAAGCATTACCAAATAGGTAGGCACATGGTCTCCCTAGCTACAGTTCTGGTATCTTCACTACAGTTAGAGCCAGAATCTGCCCCCAGGGAGACCAGATTGGAGGATATCTAGGAGAGAGGACTCAACAGTCACAACAATCAGTTCAAGACCAAGATTTGTCAGTGACCACAGATGTTTATCCTGTCAACACCCTTGCCCGCCTTTTTGTTTGAAAGCTATTTCTCCCAGCCATGGAGATTCTACATTGTCCTTTCAAAGTAAGTTTCAATGCTTCCAAATGTACTAGGGAGTGTGTTTGAATGTTTGATTTAAATGTCTCCTGTTAAAGGGGAGCCCACTCCCTCAAAGACTAGTTATTCCTTACAACAGATTTGAGAGCTAAAACACATGAGAGTTGCTTTTATTATAGTGACTTGTCAGCAGATAATCACATTACCACAAATAAATTATATGGGGAAGTTGCCAAGGCTTAGGTAACTTTGGTGTAGGAGAGCAGACCCTCTGATCCATGAATGGCCATGGCATCCCTCTAAGAGAAGACACAGATTATTCCCACTAGTTAGACTTCCAGTTTTCATCGCTTCAGAAATCAAGAGTGTGTTTATATAAGACAGTAATTGATTTAGTAATGCATGAAGAAAAGAGAACTAATTTGACACTTGCTCAGAGATGAGAAAAAAGACCTCCCAGATGGAGTCTGAATGTTGTGTTTTGACATTATCTTTCTCAAACCACTAGACTGGTCCACATATTGGTGTGGCACTATCTGGACGGAAGCTCAGCAAGCTACCTCAGGGAGGTCTTGGTTTTTCTGAGGGATGAGAGAAGGAAACAGATGGCATAGAATTTTTCAATTCATGCTGAGTTCCAATAGAAATGGGGAAGTGTTTGTATGGTATCACAAGTCAGTTGATCAGAATAGTGGTACCCTCAGCTCTTTCACTCTATAGAATTTTTGAGTAAGATCTATTGGTTTGCAAAACCTGACCTTACTCTGGTATCCATTGTATTTCCATGCCTCTGATTGTGAAGACACTGCAGTCTTCTTACTACTGAAATCATGATACTGGTATGGAGGATTCCTAGAATATTGTGGCAGATCTCTGAAAGGTAAGGAGTGAAGAGGAGAGGGGAAAATAAGGGTAGGGATTCATAGAATAAGGGACCAAGAAACAAGGAGAAGAGGCAAAACGAATCTTGAAAGAGTTAAAGGAAGAAAAGAGAAAGGAGAATAAAGAGTAAAAAATGAGGAGCAGAAACAATTCAGGAGCAAAACAGAGGTAGATGGAAATGAACTAGAGTGACTAAGAGGAGAAATGAAGATTAGAAAATACTGAGTAAAGTTTCTAGCACATAGTAAGTGCTCAGTAAATGACATGGAGGAAGGTGCTATTATGATATTACTTACTATTATCTATTATTCTAAATGAGAGTTGAGGTTCTGAGAAGTAATTTTCCCAAGGTCACTTAAAATTCAAGCCCATTATCCTCAAAACATGTGTGCTTCACAAAGAGGGCAATAAAAAATACAATTGAGGTGATGTCAGGGTTTGGTGTCAGGAAGAATAGCACATGGGTCAGCCTGGCTTGGACCAGTCTTCCTATTAACACCTTGAAGAGACTATCAACAATTAGTGACTCTTGTTTTGTGAGTACTGCCTCCTCAGTGACTATTAGAAATGTGTGCGTGTGTGTGTGTGTGTGTGTGTGTGTGTGTGTGTGTGTGTGTGGTTTGGGCTGTCAGAGTGACTGGAATTCTACATAGTGGGAAATGCCAGGAATGCTAAACATATTTCAATATGCAAGAATGTCTTATACAATGAAAAAGTCATCTTCCCTAAATGTTGACAGCATTGATAGTTTGAAATACTAGTTTGTATGTTTGCAGGAACTCTGAGAATTCTAATATAGTAGATTCTTGCACGCAGAAAGGTGCTTGTTGTTTAAGGACCCATGAGGCTTGGTGGGACCTGGACACTGTGAGGAATTCTGTGCCACCTTTTGATGAGATCGATAGGACTAATTGAAAAGCTGAGGTAGGGTGCCATATGCTTACTTGGAGCTATAAAAGGAAATAAGGATTTAGAAGATAACAAATTGTCACCTTGCAGAGCTCCAAAGGTCTCAGGTTTCTAGGGAAGATGGAGCAAGTGCTTAGGCAGTTGATCCAATCACTCAAGGTCAGTGAGGGCTTGGAAGGGGGAGATGAAAAGTTAGGGAGGCTTTTCAAGATCTGCCCCAGAAGATGGCATCGTAGGTAAGACTTTGAGGATATGGAAACCATAAAGCAAGCCATGCCACAAGCCCAGCAGCTATTCTTAGCTTTTGGCTATCAAATCTGGCAGGGTTGACAAGGGGCAGCTGGGGACACTGACTCCCTTGCATGGCACAGCCGTAGTTTAAGGAACTACTGACCTGTAGATTTTATTTTAAGGCTCTTCTGGCTTACAGAGCTGAAGGAAAAGGAAGTTTAATTCCTGCCCTGACCAAAAGGATTAACTGTGGTGAAACTAGCTCAAGGTTCTTGAGAAGATTATTTTTGTCAGCTTCACTCATAATTCCATTGAGGGATCTCAGATAGACAATATAGAGAAAATTATCACTATTAGGGAAAACAGGAATCACAAAAGGCTTCTTAAAATTGTTATTTATAGCCTACCATAGACCAGATTCTCCATGTGCACTGATGTCCATTTAGTTACAACCATTTTAGAAACTTCTATTATTATTAACAGATTATATATCATCTTCTCAGTTGATATGGGAAGGAGAACTGGTATTTTAGTACAGAAATGTGTAATTCCAAAGTCTGATCCCTTACACAAACAAATTCATGAAGGATGAATAGGTCTGGTAGCAGTGCAAGTATGAATTAAACCTGTTTAGGAAAGGCAAACAGCAGGGCAAAGATTACTTTATTTTGGTGAGTCTGATTCATAAAAATAAAAAAAATATATATATAAAATGGGAGATTAGATTATTATAAAGACTCCATGAGACAGGATTTAAGAAGTATCTAGCATAGTTCTTGCAAAAAATAATTTCTCAATAAATGTTGACTGATGGCAGCCCTCCATGGCAACAGAGAGACCAAAGGAACTTCAGTCCTCACAACTTGAGTCTTTTTGCTTCTTATATTGTTCAATGAAGAGAAGGGACCTTTATATGACATTTTCAATAAGCTACAAAGCAAGTCAGACATGACCAAAATACTAACATTGACTCGGGTCAGAAAGCAGTAACCTTATCACTACCAACTTCAGACTCCCACCAGTTGGCTTTCCATCCAGGCAAAGCCACCTTAGAATGGACTGATTGGCTAAGGCCTTCAGTGCAAGTATTTCAGTGCAAGGCCAAAAGTACTAATTTCCAAGGTCAATCCCATCACCATCAACCACACTTTCCCCAGCGTCTGTATTTATGTGAGATCTGGTCCCAGGAGCACTTACTCATTGAAAACCAGGTCAGGTGCAAAGTAGAGCATTCTGGAATTGACATTGGTGAAGGACCGCCAACCCATGGCAAACACCATGAGTCCCATCCAGGAGTACTGAATGACTGCCATCTGGTCATCCACATGCAAATTACGGAAGCCTGAAAAAGAGGGGACAGAAGTACCAATCAGTCTGGGCATTGATGGCCTGAGCTAAGACTGGGCCTCTGCTGAGATGAGAATCTGTAGCACTCAGAAGAACCTGAGGAAGCACAAAGACCATTAGTGCTGGTTGCTGAGGGATGGGAAAAAATATCAAATTAGATTGTAGGGTTAATACTCTTTGCCTTCTCTATCTCAATGAGCTGAACAAATGACATACAGGCAAAAAGGTACGCTTAGTTGGATGAAAATGCAAACCAAAGGTAACTGCTTACAATGATAATTTACCTCTTTAAATTTAAACTTATAAGTGGTTTACATATATCATCTAATTTAATCCTCACAACAATAAATAAAACAGGTACTATTTCCATCTCCATTATGTGATCACTAGAAGTGAATTGCAGAGAGTTTGAGAAACACGCTCAAGATCATATGGCTAGTAATTGGCAGACCAAATTCCAAAAACCAATGCAAACTACAGAACTCATGCTCTTTATCACTATACCTCTGAGGATGCAAGATAATAATCAATTCTTCTACACAGACAGCAATTCTTACTACTCCCCTGTAGCCTTAATCTGATCTGACTTTTGTAATAACACATAATTATAAATCAGCATATGGGGAACTGTGCCTTGACAGTTACTGCCTTCTCCACACCACATTCAAGCTCTTTTTTCTCACCTTCTAGTTCTACCCTTCAGCCATCCTCTCCCCTCCCTTCAGACACAAACATGCCCTTTATGCCCTGCCTCCGTACACTAATTTCTTACTGCTTGATTTTTGGTCATTTACATCCCAGACATTTTGAAAAACTTAAAATTTGCTGCACATTTTATGTTTTCCCAAGCCACTTGAGTTTTGCTATCTCTGTACGAACTGTTGCCTTCATCTAGAATGTATTTCCCCTCCCCAGGCTTTCCATCTGATAAACACCTACTTGCCTTTCAAAACTTTACTCAAAGACCACATCCTCTTGTGAAGTCTTTCAAACACAAAGCAGCAGAAGCCTTAATGATTCTTTTACTTTCTCATTACATTATGGAGTCCTAACCAAAAACAGCACTCACTTCACAGCACAAATTTATCTATGTACATGTTTGTCTCCCCCCACAAGACATGGAACTTCTTAAAGACAGAAAACATATTTCCTTATCTTTGCATCCACAGTATATAGCATCATCCAAATACCTGACTGGGCACTTCAGAAATATTAATTAAATGAATGGGATAAGAGCCTTCTTTTTTCCCTCAATTTGTAAAATGGAAATTAGATGATCTCCAAGTGATTTTCCTTTACCTCAGGAAAAAAAAAGCCTCTCAGGCACTACCTCTACAATAACACATGAAGGGAAATATATGGATATATTTTTCTAGAGGTTTCCAAACAGCTGGATGTTTAAAGTTATAAATGTATCACCTCATCACTTCCTCTATCCTTTTCTCAAACTTCAGAATTTTCTGTAACTTTGTCTGCCTATCCTTCATTAAGAATGCATTTAAAAATTTAAGACCCTTATTTTCCTGTTGATGACCTCAATTAACCCTCACAGTAACCTCATAGGGCAAGTGATGTGAAACTTTCTTCATTAACATGGATCCCGAGGGCCATAAAAATTATGTCCAAGATCATATTCTACATGTGGCCACACTGTATCTGGAACCTAGATGCTCTGATTCTCTGCTTCAGTGCTTTTGTTATTTGACTGCTAAAGGTAACAACTCAGGAGCTATCATGACCATCACCTTACTTTAGTGATAGTTTCAGGTCTGAAGTCATCATTATCCAGACAACATTGTCCTTTGATTCTGGCCCATTATGCAGACAACATTGTCCTTTGATTATGGTCTATCCAGTGGTCCTTTTCTTATAGATCTCAAGTCTCCAGCTATCACAGATTCTAGAGTCTTTCATAGCACAGCTTTTGTTTGGGATCTTAGCTCTCAAGCCATTTCCCACAGCCTTCATTGTACTGCCATGCTAACAGACTTGTTGAAGCCTCAGATCCATGCATATCTCCTTCCTGGAACCCTTTACAGTATAAAATGCCTAGGATTGACCCTTCCCAGTAGAAGAAGACAAGAAACATAGAAAACATTCAAGGATCCTTTGGGGGAAATGGCCTGGGAGTTTGAACCTTAAACCTCTTGGATGGGAGACAATGCTCAGCAAAGGAAGAGAAAAGGGGAGAGGGAAAAGGAGAGGGAGAAGAAGAGGGGAGAGAGAGACAGACAGAGAGAGAGGGATAAAGAGAGAAGAGGAGGGCAGAGGAGAGAAGAGGGGAAGAGGAGAGAAGAGAGGAAAGGAGAAGAGAGGAGAGGATGAGAAAGGAGAGGAGAGGAGAGCAGAGGAGAGCAAAGGAGAGAAGAGAGAAGAAAAGAGGGGAAGGAAAGGAGAGGATAGGATAGGAGGGGAGACGAAGAGGAGAGGAGAGGAAGAGGAGGGGGAGAGAGGCGGGCAGACTGGGGAGGTATGTGAATGTCAGGGTGTATGAAGAGGTATGGTATAAGCTGTAAGCTGTAAAGGTATCAAAGAAAGTCAACACCACCTACTATAATTCAGCTGAAGTCTTATGTATCCTTGATATATACATTATATTTTGATAAAAAAACTTTTAAGTTAGCTATTAGTCTACCATCTTCACAAATGAGAAAAGAGGAACACAAAGAAGACATGTGATTTGCTTGAGGTCACACAATCACTGCAAATCTAGGATTCCAAACTAAATAAAACCAATTCTGAATACACTGTGTACAATTTGCTCACCTGCTCTACTTCATGGCAATACATAATTTACTAACATACCAGGTACTCTATTAGACAGTTTCCAGACATTTTCACCATTACAGAAATTTTTACAACAAAATCGTTTGACCGGGTTCTTATTACGGTGTCTCAAACAGGGAAGGAACTCAATCTGTTCAATGAGCAAATTATTTGATCTACTAGGTGACTATTAACAATATGAAAAGAAGTTCTTATGAATGGGGTAATCAGCTTTTTTTAGAAGTTATTCTTCTAAATGCCTGAAAGTCAGAGATCATTTACTTTGGCAAGCTAGATGGTGAACTGATTTTCTCTTGGAGATTTGTTAATTATAAGGAAAGAGTTTCCAACATGAAGATTAGGCTGAGGAAATCCAATGACCTCCAGTTACATAATTTCTGCCACAGTAATTTGCACTAGTTTATTGTCAAGACCACCCAACTGGAAATCAGAAGATCTGAGCTCAAGTTCTGGTTCCACTTTTAAGTGATCAGTCCAACAAATTAGTTAACCTCTTTGAGCTGTGTCATGTGAAATGGAAATAAGTCATTATGATTCATACAATTCTTTTGAGAAATACACACAGACATATATGAAAAGGCTCATATCTTATAAAATCAGATATATGAAGTATTATGATTCATACAACTGTTTTGAGAAACACACACACACACACACACATATATATATATATATGTATGTATATATATATATATATATATATATATATATATATATATATAAAGGCTCTGTATCCTATAAAATCAGACACTTGGAAATTTGAAAGTATTTGGAAATTGCTTGGGAAGAATGAACTTTGAAGCTCTATCAAACATGTGACATCAAGACATCCAGCTGAATAAGTGATAAGAATTAAAGCAGTTTCTCATTTTCTATTTTTTCCCCTCCTTGTATTTTTTCCTCCCCATGTGAACTCTCCGGCTTGGCACAGCGCATAACCAGCCAGAGTCCTTGGACTTTCTTTCCAGTGATCTTATTGGCTAGTCAACTTCAGCTTCTCAAGCTGGAAAAGCGTTAGACAGGGTCTAGTGGCTGCAACTGAGCCATGTGAGTTAGAAATGCAAAAATAGGGGTTTGATGGAGAACATGCAATATCTTCAAGTAGCAGGACGATGATATGACCAAACTGACCTTTGATGAAGCTTTAGTTCTTCACTGTAAAGTCCAGAATTACAGAATGGGTGAGACACCACAGACTACAGGTAGATTACAATGAAGATAAGATTTAGATTAGGGAACCTGGGTCTGCTACTTTCTGGCTGCGTAACTATGTATCTTCTCAGGACCTCTTGTCTTTGCAAAATAAGGGAAATAGCTCCTAATTTATATAATTTTATGAGAATCAATCAGGTAATTAAAAGAAAACTGTCCTTTTCACTAAAAATTTCTATTGACTAGAAATTATTGTTAGAGAAGCAGGTTAATCTTTGACTCCACAGGTTATTGATGTTTCAAAAAAACTTTGAATCACATAATCTCAGGATTATGAGACCCTTTAAAAACTATATGCTTCACTGGTTTTCAAACTGTGCTCCCTAGAGTCACCAAGATTCTGCAAGAATGACCTGGGGTAACACAGGAGAGTCTGAGCTGGTAAAAGGCACAGGTCAAAGACTGACTTTAAATCAACCTGTTAAATTCATATGTGTGGGGACTGGGTATTTAGCTCGGTGGCATAAGTGCCTGCCTTGCAAGCAGGCAGTCGTGAGTTCAATCCCTGGTACCAATAAAAAAAAAAAGATTAAAAAAATGTATATGTGTGTACAATGCTTTTTGAGAAATAATGCATTTGGCTGCTGAAGGAAAGTTTGTGAATCTTTGATAGAGGCTCTATAAATTTCTGTAAGCTGTAATGTTTTCATAATCAGACTGGTTTAAACAATATATTAGAAAGAGAGTAAGTTTCCCACTGACTGACAAAATTTCCCCATAGGGTGATAGAACTGCATGAGTTAATGGGTACCTGTCCCCTAGGAGTGTTCATTAAATATAATCTCCTTTATCCCATGTACTCATTTTCCTTTTCCTTACCAGGCAAGGCTTTGGCCCACTTGACCACATGTACAAGCTGTCTTTCTCCCAGTTCATTGAGGCTCGAGAGCAAGGCTGCAAAGGAGTCAGGTTGATTGTTGTCATGTCCAGCACACACCACACCTGGTTCAATGGCTTCTAGGACATTCAGGAAGATGGGCTGACACTCATAGCCTTCCATGTGAGATACTGTCATTTTCTGGCATGGCTCCTCAGTGGGGCTGCTGGAGCTGGAAGCTTCTCCTTCTTCTTGTAGTTTTAAATTTCCAAGTTTCTTCAGCTTACGGGCTATTGGAAAGGAAGAAAAACTTGAATTTATCATCAGTGGTCAAAATCACATAGCAGAGCTATACTGGTAGGAAAGCTGCCTGATCTAAAAAAAAAAAAATAAAGATTTAGCACCTGGTAATAGGTGCTAAATTCCCTAAGATCAAGTGCTCACTGAGCACTGTTTGAATGAATGATACATCATCCCAAATCTGTTAACTTAGCACACACACATCATTGAATTTAGCTGTGCTTGAATGCAATCTTTAGTATTCAAACCTGGTACCTTCAATTAATTTATATATGAAAATATTCATCATTCATTCGCTCAGTGCATATCCACTGTTAGCCTTGGGTTTCTGAGTGAAAGAAAGGACACAGGTGCTGCCTCTCTGATAGAGCAGAAATAAATTACCACAAAAAATTCTAGAAAATATCAAGATGGTAAATACTGAATTGAGGCATTAAAATTACAAAAACAATAATCTTTCTGAATGGGTAGATTTAGGAAATGCTTTATATCAAAGGTAGCATTTGACCTACAGTTTATAAGACTGATGAGTATTATACCAGGCAGAGATGGGTGGAGAAGGTATAAGCAAAAGTACTGAGGAGTGCTTAGGGGAAAAACTAGAGATCAGTGTTGTTTGCATGTATATTATATATATGGAGGGCTAGCTGTTTATGAGGTTGAAAACAAAATTGGGGCCTAATTTTAAAGGGGCATGTATATCCTATTAAGATGATCAATCTCTGTCTTATGGGTAATATGCAAATATTAAATGTTGTAAATCAAGAAATTAATGTAAACAAGTCTGTGTCTAACATGTGCAGAAGATCACTAGAGGAAAAGACAAAGAGGGTAGGTCCATTAAAGAAGGACTAGAGGACTAGACGATGTATGGATTCTTAGGGGTATCAAAATGAACACTAAATTGGAATTTAATTCTCCCCAGTTCTCTCTCTCTCTCTCTCTCTTTCTCTATCTCTCTCACACACACAGACACACACACACACACACACACACACACACACACACACACACACACATTTTGTTAAAATTTTCTTAACATGGAATGGTTGCCTGGCACTTACATTACTGTGGATGATCAAAGGCTAAATGGCACAATGTTTGACAACGTAAACATCAAATAGAAATGAGGTAAAATTATACATATATCCCTGAAGCTATCAGACCTTCAGGCTACTAAATTCTATCACTATAATTTGGGCACAATGGACAAGAGTTCTCTGGTGTTCTATTTACTACTGAATATTTTAAGAAGTTTTAGGTATCAGAATTATACCGATAGCTGAACACACACCATTACATGCGTATTGATTTTCTCCTTTAGCAAAAGAGAGAGGGGAATGGTAAAGAACTGAAATCCCTAACTGTAGCAAAGAAATGACAAAATGCCTCTGCCTCTATCATCTATCTGTAAAATGAGAATCATGCTAGGAAGTGGCCATTATAAAGGATGTTAGAAATAGAATTATTTACAACCATAATCTTAAACTCAAATCTTAAGAACTATCATTTCCAAATGTGTGCATGCATGCACTAACACATACACACACACACACACATTGTAGAGATCTTTGGCATTCCAAAGTTTATTTTGTTCTATAGTCCCTACAATTTATAGCCACAGAATATAAACAATTTAAAAGGTCATAACTCAGGTATAGTATAAGCACATAATCAGAAGCTGATCACAATCCACTTTTTCTCTAAGTCTTTTGAAATAATGATTAATAATAATAATAAATAGTAAAATAGAGTTTGAGTCTTAATTTAAGTGGATAAATACAATAAAACCTACTGCTCATCTGTTTCTGGCTCCTGTAGAAAGAAATGATGGGGCTGGGGATTTAGTTCAGCGGCATAAGCACATGCCTTGCAAGCAGGCAGTCGTGAGTTCAATCCCCGGTACCGATAAAAATGAAAAAAAAAAAAAAAAAAAAAAAAAAAAAGAAAGAAAAAAAGAAAAAAGAAAGAAAGAAAGAAATGATGCATATCTGGAACTTTCTTTCAGCTCTAATTAAAAAAACAAATCCTTCAGTAGAAACATGAATCAATGTCACTCAATATATGGATGCAAAAATGGGTCACATTTTTTAGCAACAACTAGGGTGGGGAAAGGGAAAATGGTGGGTAGGTGGTACGAGAAGTGAACAGAAAAGAATTGAGGGGGAAAATAACAAAAAAGCCTGGAAAATCAACCCTAAGTGCATGATGACCTTGTCCAAAAATCATTTCTGCACAGATTGGACACAGTCAGTAATAAGAATGTAAAGCTACTTCCAACTCCTACATTCCACCAAGAACACAGACTGTAAGATATGATCTGGGCCAAGCCAATCTTTGTCCAGAGCTAGAAGACTGTCCCCATGATATCTCATCATCTGCTGAGCCCATTATTAACATGGGCTCTTATATACAGCTCTACAGACTGGCAATTCCTACAGGATTTGTTTCCGTGGTGCAGTTCCAATAGGCAAGCTGCTGCCTCTCCATCACTGGCACTTTCTTGCATTGATCTTGAGTTGCCATACCGTGTAGCTGCTGTTCTAGCTTGATGGAAGACAGAAGTATAGTTCAAATTGTACCTGAGGTAACTAAGGGAAATAAGAGTAAGTACTATTTTTTTCAGTGTCTTCTATTATGTCTCAACTCATTAACATCTTATCTCATTAATTTCACAGTGTTCTTAGGGGAATGGATACATTTCTGATTCCTGGTTTGAAAATGAGTAAACTGAATTACCACAGTTATCAAGAAAGATAATAATATAAGCCTACACTGAAACTATAAATTCTGTGTTCAATCCTGTTTCTTTTAAGGAGTCTGAAACCTTAAACTCTATATTTTTAGACTAAAAGCAGAGTTGAGAAATGGGCCTGGGATTGTGCATATACTCCACTTCCTATTTTCAGTCTTGTCTACAAACATCAATAACTAGCATCACAGCCAGGAAGGAAAAGAGTAATACTCCAGTCACCTGTCTAAATGGAAACAAATTTGAGTTAGTATAGGTACTTAAAAACATAAAGAATGACAAACAGGAAGGGTCCTTAGAAATCATCTTATCCAGGATCACAAATTTAAATACGTTTATAGAGTATATACAGAAGTAATATAGTGGGTGGGTATATATAATATGCACATGCATATATAAGAATAGTTGATGCTGTGGTGAAGTAGAATAAATGCACTTACGACTGCCTTCTCACCTCTAGAAAGCACCCATATAACCATGTATTCTAAAGCTGGATTCAGTCCTTAGCCATAATTTGGGACTCCTGATATTAGTCTAACTCAAAGTTAGACTAAAACCAGAGAGGAAAAAGCAACTTAATGGCATAGCTGGAATTAGAATGATGGTTCTTATTCCTATTTTAAAATTTCCTATGCCACAGTGGCTTTCTCTTTGATTAAGTTACTCCTGCCAAGTCTTGATGCGTCTCTTTGAGCTCATTCTAGACCTTCACTGTACAACAAAGTAGCCATGAGTCATGTGCAGCTATTTAAATTAATTAATATTAAAATTAAAATATAGTATTTCACTTTCACTAGACTTTTTGTCAGTGTTCAAAAGTGCTGATAGATACAGAACATTTCCATCATCTCAGAAAATTCTACTGAATAGTGTGAATATAGGCTGCTCTCTGGAGCAGCCATCCCATTTGCCCTCCCCTAATAAAACTATTGCTAAAGCGGAAAATAATCCCAACAAATTATATATAGAAGGCTTTGCCAAAAGGTAGAGAGACATGCAGAATAACTAGTGTTGAGGGAATAAATGAGATATGATTTGTCACTTCTACTGTTCCACCAATGTTTCAGAACTCAGTGGGGTCACGACTGTGGACCTAAGCAAACTCAATACAAGCAAGACCAATATGTGTAGACATTGTGGAGAAGACTCCAACAAGGTTAAATACCCAGCCCCCTTTCTTTGTGCAGTGCCTCTGCTAGATCTATAAGGCATAGCTCGAGGACGGCAGACAGCATTTCCACTTGCTTCCAAGACCCATATAATGTGCTATCCCTGTGGCCACAGTGGCCCAAGCTGCACCAGGTGTTCTAGCCTGTTGATCTAAAAAGGAGGACTGTGCTGAACATAATTGAAATCAGATTCCATTCATTCTACTGAGGGATCCTCTGTTCTTTCTCTGTAGCAAAAGCCAACATGTTTCTTGATGGCTTGGAATGCTGGACAATGACGCTTGCTACTCACAGCTATTATTAAATGCCCAAGGTCTTGTTTTCTTCCATGAAGGCTGCCCCCACACCCCTCCCTTCCCCTGCACCTGAGCCCCAGAGTCAAATCTAACGCTTTTATCTGAAGTACAGACCATCCAGGCAATGTAACAAACCAGAGACTAGCTTAAAGTGAGTGGTGTGAAGTGAGAAGAAAGACCGTTGTAGAAGTTCATAGTTCTAATGGTGTGGAAATTACTTTACATCTCCACCTTGCCTCTTTTAGGTAAGAGCAATGACAAGAAAGGACTGTGGTAAACTTCTTGCTTGACTCTATCTGCTCTTCAGGGGATTGGAGCACCTAGCCTGATATACCTGTATTTCTATGGGAAGATTACTTTTCAACCCTAGCAAACTAAACTCCTGCAGAAGTTATTTCCACAGCACCAGAGAAAGAGTTTTCAAATTCCCTTCTATGACTGAACTTTAAGGGTAGTTATCTTTGATGGGCTTCACCTAATCAGGTGAGATTAAAAGGTATTGGACTTTTCTTAAGACATTCAATGAGCCTTGAGAGGGAATCAACACAAGGAAGACATTCTGTTGCTGGCTTTGAAGGTTTTGGGACTCATTTTATAAAAAAAAAAAAAGGGCATCTTCTGGGAGATAAGAATGGGCCTTAACTAATAATCAGAAAGGCAGCAAAAGAAACCTGCATTACTGCTACTGTAATGAACTGAATTGTGCCATAATTATGCATGTTTGGAAGACTCTGAGTTGCAGCGTTGTGCAGGGAAACTTGCTCAGTACCTTG